ACACTAAACTAAAACACATAAAACACACGAAAATAAGCACAAAAACACAATAAACATATATGGTTCACTCCTTAAGCTTATACTCATAATACATATATATACTTAGAAAAATTCCAAGACTAATCATAAGCTCGGTTAGGGTTTAACCTAGTTCGACTGAACTTTCTCGATCCCGGTCGCGACTTGACTTTCGACAATTAATCCGAATATCTCGACTCCGAATAAGACGTCGACTTAAACTAATTAATCCCAACTCACTGATGTCCATTTATTAATTAAACGGACTGAGATTAATTACTAAAATTGACTTGATTAATAAATAAAATTAACCGAAGACATTTTCGACTTAACGTCGAACTTGGAATTTCACTAGCTGAATAACTTTGACTTGAACATTAACATGAATATTTATTAACAAAGGCTAGATTATATTTAAAAGCTATTATTTTCCTTTATTAATAAAATTCGGGGTGTTACAAACTGGATGGTTCGTTTATTCCCGCAAGACTGGATAATGTTAGTGCTCTTTCATGGATTTACTACTTTCCTCGTATGTCCGTTGTGTTTTTGTATATAGTGTTGGAAGCAAACACACAGGTTACACAGGTTGAGGATCCTACGGCATCATATGGTTTCGGGGGAGTGTTTGGTGGTAAGGGTACATGGACTACGCATGCCGGTAATTTTGGTGAAGGGACGAGTAATTTCGGCGAAGGGACGAGTAATTTGGGCGAAGGGACGAGCTTTACCATGAGAGGACCGGACATTGAGGAAGAAATTGTTGGAGATGAAGATTTCAATCCCGATGAAGACGATTTCACTGATGAGACCTCGGAAACCGAATCGGACAGATCAATTAATGAGGAGAGCGAACAAGAATTCATTGAAGAACACCCATTTCCAAATGAAGGCCTCCACGTATATCGCGAGATGGGTGAGTGGGACTCGTCGTGTGTAGATAGAGACGAGTATGCCTTACCACTCTGGGATGGGCATGTCGAGACTATCCGTTTGGGTACAGTTTTTCGTACCAAAGAAGAAGCCCAGACTGGTGTTATGGCCTGGAATGTTGAGAATCTTAGAGCGGTCCGGACAAAACATTCCAACAAGAAATCGTTCAAAGTTGTGTGCAGATCAGCTGAAGTTGTACCATGTATGTGGAAGGCCCGGGTGAGTCTTAACAAATGGGCGCACGACATGTGGGAGGTAACCGAATGGACCGATAGCCACACTTGCATGCAGGTGGTCGAGAGAAATGACCACAAGAATGTGACCGCCACCATGATCTCAAATCTTCTGTTGGCTAAGATTCAGAAGCAGGTGACCTACAGTGTGGAAATGGTCCAGGCCGACGTAAAAAGCACCTGGAGTGTCGACGTGAGCTACAAGAAGGCGTGACACGGGAGAAAAAAGTCATCGATCGTCTGTATGGCACGTGGGAATCGAACTACGCACAACTCCCCCAGTAAGCAAAAATTAATTATAAATGTATTTACATGTTGCTTGTAACTATATTTATTTATTTATTTATGGTTACCTTTTTATAATTTGCAAGTTTTTTGACGCCCTTCAAAGGGCGAATCTCGGCACAGTCATTGGGTGGGAATGGCAGGATGGGGAAATGGCTCTTCATTTTCGAGACAGAGAATTCAGATTTGTCTTCTGGGCGTTCGGGCCCGCCATTGGAACCTTCCATCTTTGCCCGCCGATTATTAGCATCGACGACACGCACCTGCGAGGTTCGTACAAGGGGAAGCTACTTGTTATTTGCAAATTAATTTTTTTATTTTCTAATTTTACAATAGTGCCTGATAAAAAAAAAATTATGTCCAACTGAGCAGGTTCATACAAGGGAAAGCTGCTTGTTGCCATAGCACAGACCGCGAATAAGCGTCTATTTTCAGTCGCGTATGAGATTGTGGATGAAGAAAGCACGGCTAGCTGGTCCTTTTTCCTAACACATATGCGCCATCATGTCGTCTCCGACAAGGAGATATGTCTTCTTTCCGACAGGGACAACGGCATATGGAGTGCCGTTGATTTACTGGAGGCTTAGCACGAACCCCATGCATTTCATTGGATAAGCGTTCGACACCTCCGGAGCAACGTGGTTCAAGGTTCCGGAGTAAGAAAATCCAGGTTTTGTGCTGGAGGTTGGGTTCAGTGTGTTCTCGCCGCAAATTTGAGCAGAGTCGACAGCAGCTTCAGGAACGTAACCCAGAAGCATACAATTACCTTTTCCGAATTCCTTTAGATAAATGGACCCTGTACAGAGATAACAAATGTCGATAGGGCACTCTGACAACCAATATGTTAGAGAGTTACAACAACGTCCTCAAAGGTGTTAGGTTCCTGCCCTGCAGAGCGTTGGTACAGGCCACAATGGACAAGACTCTGGATTTGTTCGAAAAGGAACAAAAAAAGTCCAGAAGCTGCAGGAGTCTCATTCTTACCGACCTCTATGCCGCCTATCTGGTGTTGGAGAGGACATCAGCGACTCACGAGGTGCAATGTGCGGACGCCGTCGGATCCAGTACAAGGTGACAACCGGTCTACGTGCCAGTGGAAGAGGCCAAAACAAGTATGTATTTTTTATTATTTTTTCCATTGAAATGAGTTTTTTTTTTGTTTTTGTTTATTTATTTATATAAATCATTGTGGAAAACAGGTTTACGGTTTATTATCAGCAGCAGTGTTGTAGATGTTGGAAGTGGCAGACACATCGGAAACCATGCACTCATGCATTAGTCATGTGTCGTTACAGGGGTGATGAACCAAACTTGTTGTACGATTCCCACTTTTGGACGGAGAACTGGGTTGCTCAATTTTCTAATTGGAATTTTGCTCCAGTTGGAAATCCTGGCACGTGGCCGCAGGTGGGATGGAATTTGATTCCGCATTGGAAAAGGATCATCTCGAAGCCTGGACCCGGTCGCACCCAAACGAGACGCCTTAAAATGCAAATGGATTGTCGGGCGCGCCACAGAAGGGGCCAGAATCAATGGAGTAGATGTGGTGATCCTGAACATTTCGCGGACCATTGCCTGTATTCGCATCCTCCCACCGATCGAACTAGACTTCGTGATGATTGGGGGAACTAGATTTTTTTGTATGTATTTTGACTGAATCGGATTGTTGAGATGAATATTTTTTGTATTTGGATCGGATTGTATTTTTTGTATTTTGTATTTGAATCGGATTGTATTTTTTGTATTTTGTATTTTGACTGAATCGGATTGTTGGTACACCAAGGGGTACATGTAGCATGATCCTATATAATGTGTGGATTGGTTGATTAATTTTCGTGTATGTTGATTTAGTTGGTTGTTTTTAAAATGGAATCGGGAGGAATAACGACAGAAACAGGTGCATTCGAGTCGTGTGAACATCACCAAGTTTTTTTTCCCCAGTTTAAAACGTATTCTAAGAATACATTTTACAATTAATATGTAAAACGTATTCTCGGAATAGGTTTTACAATTAATTAAGCGTAAAACGTATTCCCAAAATCCGTGTTTAAAAAAAAAAATGGGAGAAGGACCCCAGATTCAGTACTCGAACCCTGTACATGTGGGTAAGTCCGTTTTCTCCAGTCACACCTCCTACCATTAGGCCACGCTAGGCTATCGCTGTTATATTTGCGCAAATTTTATTCTTGTACTTCAATATCAATATTTTGTTTAGTATATAGTTTTTTTAATACATAGTATATACATATATATATTATAATTTACGATAGTATATACAATTATATTACAAAAAATTGAAGTCAAATTAGTACGATCTTGGTCAAGTATAGTGTAATCGAATTCGAATTAGTAA